CTTGGTTTTGCTCTTGAATTTTCCTTTGTAAAGCAAAGTTATAAACATAAACAATTAATTTCTTTTATCCTTATGAACCTCTTTCAGATTTGGCCCTTTTTCAGGGTTGTCTTTATTTTTTCCAAGAAAATATGGTCACTGTAGTCTTAGGTGTTTATGTGCATGTAATATTTATATCTGATAAAGCAGTGGAATGTATGTTTTTTCAGTTTACATTCAGCATTGATAGTCCCCGAAAAGGGTATACTTCATTTTTCCCTGTTAATTTTTATACTGGTTCACAAAAACAATATAGATGTTAAGCAGTATAGATGGTACACTCTTTACAACCTGATTAGATTCACACATGAATGAAAGTCACTTGCCTAAAAACATCTTCCTTCCTTATTCACTTATCCCTCACAGAAAGGAGAAAGCCAGGCTAGTAGAAAATGATTTCTGACATGGTTGTGCTGCATGTTTTCCAAATGTTGGGACCTGTCCTTAGTTCACATACATTCTAAGATAGTACAAACTATCCAGATGGGACTACAGGACACACTTACTGTTTTAATCAGCACAGAGGGTTCATCCATCAGCACAGTTGCTTCTGCTACACTCTTCTCCCATTCTGAAGGTCGGAGAGAGTCCTGTTGTCTTATAACATGCTGTCTCCACAAGGTGCTCTTACCATACATTTGGAACAGAACCATGCTGTCTCTACAGCTGTACCATAATGTATAATGCTCTAAGGGCAGTGATTGGTGATTTTCCCTGGCTGAGGTTTGACTATCACCAACTAAGGGAAAAGCCACCACCGGTCATGAGTATAGAGTGTTTGTTGGGGTGAATGTCTGGTTATTCTGTCCCATCCTTCTTTTCCCAAAATATTATCAAGCTATTGACCACTAGATAACAGCAACTGAGCAGATTGCCAAGCATCATCTCAAGCCACCTTCTCCATCTGTCTTAAAATGTCTACATTGAATGCTTTATATCAGCACCACATGGAAAACACCATTCTACACAAGAACACCTAAAGCAATCCTCAAACTATCTTATAAGCCATTTTATGATGAGACAGAGATGACACTGTATGTCCTCAACACATGGTAAGTGGAGCATCCATGCCAGGGCACACAGGTTGTGTTGATGAACTCTTAGATGTGACGTTAAATTCTGCTGAGATATAACAGGACTACCAATTGGCTCTTGTCTGTAGCACTGGCCCTTATTACACACTGTCAATCCTATCTGAGAATGTCCCTTATTTCAAGGGTTACCGTCCCAGAAAGCCTATTGTTTCTCAAGTATTTCTCACATAAAAAGAGAAGGAAGCAATGTTCTTCAAGATTGGCATATCCTCAAGAGTGCCAAGGGACTACAGTATACAATTCCATTTTCATGCAAGGATATATATCCATGTCTTCTGAAAAGCAATGTGCCATGTCTTCTAAGTTACAGGAATATACTGCAAGAAGTACAATATAACCAGCTTTCAGACATAGGTTGTAAAGAGTGTTTTTTTAAAAATAACATTAGTTTGAATACCTTGCACAACACTACTAAATATTACAGGACTCTCATGATGATTGTACCTTCTGCTCCAAGAGGTGTGGAATGGAATTTATCCTACCTTTGTTTTCCCAAGAGCCCACTTGTCTAACTTGGCCTTTTGAAGAATAGCGATGCAGTTTTCTTTGCTCGGAGGAGGGGTCTCATGCGCCTTGAAAGCAATGTAATAATATCTACAGAAGTATAAAGGATAACAAAGATCAGATCTGAATAAGCAAACTTGTTTACTATGGCACAGAAAATCCTGCAAATATTATGGATCAGGATTGCATGTACTTGGCCTTCATATTACTATATTCTCATCAAGCCTGACCATGCTGGCTGGAGTGATAGGAGTTAGAATATGAGTCCACTTGGAGGGTCACAGATCTGCACCCATTTTGCCCATAATGACATAGCCCAAAGTTGGATAGAGATCTCCTACTTCCTATATATGCCAGCTCCCAGCCACCCCCAAAATTAAGTGTGTAGTACTAAGCAAACTTTTGCAAGGGTTTAAAAAGTGTATAATAGCCATCTTTCATAGGCATCTGTGGGACAAATGGGTCAAATGACAAAACATACATGATAATGTGAGATATATGCAACTGGACTATTTGCATAGTGATGTTATCACACTTGTTTAATTATTTTGATGTCATCATGGTTTGTTATGGATATTGTTGCCAGTACTAATAACCAGTTATTTGCAAGATTTCAGATGGCTCGCTTGCCAACTTCCAGTGGTTTTTATGGAGTTATTTTTTGTCTAATAGGCCAAAAGCATCTACAGATAAACCATGGTTAGGTATAGGCTACTTGTTCTTGTATATTATTTGTTTCTACCAAATGGTGTAAAAGTAGCTATTATTAGTAAAACAAAAACAAAACAGAAAATTTAAAAAATAAACTGAAACACTATCCATAGAAATCAACCAAACTGATAAAAACAAGTTGTAGTTAGTCTAAATTACAACTTGGTCATTATTGACTATCAACTGGTCTTAATTATCAAAATTATGGACCAAGGTATAATAGAATTTTGATCTTATTTTTTTTAAATGCTCCTTTGGATAACTCTGTGAAGATACAGTTCTGGCAAAGAAGTATGGATTTTTTGTCGTTCCAGTCATAGAATAAGCTCTTAGAATGGTTTCTAAGCCTAAGTCTTTTGTCAGTCTTTTGTTGCAATGTTATTCTGGCTCTGCTAAATAGAAGAATGTGTCCAGACACTAATATACAGGGGAGGTGTGTGTGTGTGTGTGTGTGTGTGTCTTTGAGTGAGCATTGACTCCTGGCGACTGCCTAGACAAGTCCCTGCAGCTTTCTTGGCAAGGTTTTTCGGAAGTGATTTGCCCTTGCCTTCTTCTTCCCAGAGCTGAGAGTGAGTGAGTGGCCCAAGGTCACCCAGCTGGCTTTGTACCTAAAGCGGGACTAGAACTCACAGTCTCAATTTCTAGCCTGGTGCCTTCACCACTATGCCAAACTGGCTCTCTCATTATATAGGTACCCAGGCTTATTTCCCCATTCCACAAAATCATCTGCCAAGGCAGCAGGAATATGTTTAAGAGCCATCAGAAAACCAGGCAGTTTGATTAGCCTTTTGGGGTGGGGCAGTCTAATTGGACTAGAAAGGATCAGTGCTCCCATTAAGTCTAAACCTTACCAGACCACAATAGAACTTAAAATGTTTCTTCACGGCCAATTCATCTTCATTCACTTCTCTTGACTTTGTAAATGTGGATTTATGTGTGTTTTAAAACAGCAGAATGCCATTATATATGTTTGGCATATGATGCATATAAACATATTAAGACTCAACTAATTTCAGGATTTCAAAAATTTCATTTATTTTGAAATTTTGTTTGAGACATTAAAAGCTATGGGCAAGGTTTTTTTCCTTTAAAAAGCATGCATTTTAAATCTTGATAAATTGTAAGATAATGTTGGGAGTATCAACTTGCTAAATTTAATGGGAGTGCTCCAGATTACTTAGTAAGACTCTTCTTCACCAACTTTAAAGCTGACATTTGTTTAAAACATCAATACATAAATATTTCAGGGACCAGGGTTTGTTTTTGTTTTTGTTTGTTTTAAGGGCAGATCAGTGGCACTGTAATTTTGATCAAATGTGGAGATGTCGAAGGTTTACCCTTCTATTCCCTACATCTATTCCATCTATATACAGTAATTAATTTCCAGCAGTTTCTTTAGCATGTGCTGACACTGAAAGATAACTGAGTCCCAGATTCACTCAATGTGTGTCAAGACTACAATTAGTTTACAGTAAAAATGACTTCCATATCCATCTTCATTACACAGGAGCTAGGGGTGACTAGAGCAGAGGGGAGAGTGAGAATGCAATCACAGGCAAAAGAGGTACTGCCTCTACAAGTTAGCTCTAGAAATGAAAGAGAATGAATGGTGAAGTTAAAAGCAACTGTTCATCATACCACTCAAGTATTTTCTACTCCCACTTGGAATTTTGAAAACTGAAATAAGAACAAGAGCTCATGATTCTCTCCCAACCTACCTCTGTATAAATGTATCTCAGGTTGTTGTGTTTTTTTTTAATTCCCAAGCCTGAGAGACAGTAAGTTAAGGATTTGCATGAAAGCTACATTGCTTTGGTCACAATGATGCTATTTCTGCAAGGAATGTGTTAAGCCAGGCAAAGAGACTACTATATGGTTCTAGCTGAAGAGACAAGTATCCAAATCCATTAAACATTCCCACATCACAACATGGGAAACCTAACCCACACATGTTCCAATGGTCCTGATACAATGCTAATGATTTATTCTGAATTGGACTGCTCCAAATTAGAACTCCTGCTTTCAGAACCCAATTTGGCCCTTCTCAGTCCCAGACTCTGGGAAATTCACCGAGCACAGTTGCCATTGATGATATCTGATCTGCTTCTCCAGGATCACTCAGACATGCTGTAATCAGTATGGAGGACACTGAAAATCTGACTGTATTATGTGCCATGCACTATATGGCAGTGTACTATATGGGCAAATAAGGAAGTGAGATACAAGAAGCAAATGTTAGTTGATTTTTGGTATCCACTGCTCTTCAGATGCACTACTAGCTTCTCAGCTATTATTTCAGAAATAAGTTTATTACTGGGAAGATCTAGATCTGTGAGTTTTCTTTGCTTATAGTTTTTTCTTTTCTCCTCCTTTTTCCAATAACAATTATTAATAAAAATAATATTTGAGTCATGAGATATGCTTACAGTATGCTTTGGGAAAATTTATCCTTTAGTTTTAATGACAGTATCTTTTGAAATATATTATTATTAAAAATTATTTGAGATTTAATTGTGAATGTCTCTCCACCACCTTCTGTCATAGTATCTGATGAAGTAATTTTTTCACCTTACAAATATTCTGGCTGCAACCAAAGTTAAGTTCTGCTGATATTAATGGGAAAATTAAACAGATGTTCCTAACTGATTTCTTCCACTACAATGGAAAAATCTGAATGTTTAAATTTGGAAGATCAGAGTTTGAAATGCCCACAATTTTTCCAACATTTTTGTAAGTAAATATTCCAGTTTCTATACATATGGATTGTTTTTTATACATTTCATTTCAATACATCTGCTCACTAGACTCTAGATACTGTTAGCTGAATCAGCAATTTCCATTTTCATATTCTTCTATGAAACAGAGTATAACTGCAGTAAAATAAATACCTGTAGGGTAGCCAATTTCATATTAGTTTGCTACAGACAGATTTTGAATTTTGCATTGAAACATTAGAGATTGCAATCCCATTAAGGAATCAAAGGGTCAGAACAAGCTAAAGTTACAATTGCTATCCTTGTAACTCTTATTTTGAAAAAAAATAGGCTCCTCCTTGTCCTATCCACACATCCCTGTGCATTTATGCACATGCACTTGAATGCATTGAACCTTTCCAGATTCTAGAATGATGTTTCTAGAAGGGGACCCAGTAGGGACCCAGTAGCTGGAAATAGCATATAGGCAGATTTCTCTGCCACACTTATCTATGCAAATATGTGGATGGCAATATTTCTTTATGCAAGAAACACAATGACAAAAGCTTGAACCTCTTATATTTCATGGTCCTGTCAGTAGTGAAAATTTCCCCCTCTCTATTTATATTTATATGTGTGTATGGGCTCTTCCTCACAGCTGAGTAAAAATGCTATCACCAGTCCTTTCGCCAGCAGAAATCTATACCAGCGTAAATTTTGCTGTCTCCATTGGTGATTGCTGACACAGGCCTGATGCTGGCAAATGGTGTTCTCTTTATGTGTGGTATGCAGGACTTGTCAGGGACAGGGATTGGTGGATTCCCCTGGTTTGCTTCCTTCCACTCCCACCAAATCTCGACAGCTGGCAGGAAAACACCCACCAATCATCCCTCTTCAGTTGTTAGTCAGGCTCCTTTTAGTCATGGGTTTACTGCTGCTTCAGAGGAGCACTAAATTCATAGTCAAAGGCAGCCTGAAGAACAGCTGACAGGTGTGGAGACAGTTCCACTATGAAGCTGCAGAAAATTATCTCTTTCTTTTCTGCTTCACCCCCATAGCCCTCCCCCCCCGCCCCGGCTGCCAGCATTGGTCAGGCTGATCCAGATCTCTGAGCCAAAGCTAGAGATGTGGTGGGTACAGGGCAAGAGCCCAGTTTAAAAACTAGGCTTCCTGCTGCCCAAAGCAGGATAGCTCCAGAAGACAATGCTCAGGGACTGAAAAGGAACAGACATATTGCTGCACCAGCCTATAGTGGTCTGTACATGCTGGACTAATCCCACCTCTCAGGGGTCAACTGACTGTGCTACCCACAGAATGAAGTATGTCTATCTACATCAAAACATGTACAGGATTTTAACACCAGTAAGCTAAGGATCTTAAGGCTGCCCCAGGTACATTATGGGAAGCAGATAAAGGTAACACTATAAGCTGAAAAAAGAGGTTATTCATGTTTGTGCATCAGTTCTATGCAAGTGAGGAAGGCTCTATACAATCTTCCTTCTCAGGAAGAGGCTGATTCATTATGCATCTATTCCATGGACCTCTTGCTACAGGTTGACTACAGTTCTATGTTGCTTACCTGGATGTTAACCCTACTGAACTGAAGGGAGCCAACATCTGAGTAGAAATGTGTAAGATTCTACTGAACGTAATACTACTCTTGAGTGTGCCATAAACTCATTATTT